AAAAAAGTATTACCCCAAACAAACTGAAGAAGGTGAATAAACAAACGAAAATGGTGTTGATTAAAAAACAATTTACCAATTATAGGCATTGTTTGGTATGGATGGGAAAGGATCGAAAGAGGATAGCGAAGTGGAGGGCGCACTTGAGCCGGGAGGAGGTGACAGTTCAGCTGTGAACGGCTTCAGTTCGTCATGTGCCAGCGGGCGCTTACGAGCTGAACGACTGGCGCTTGACATCTGAATATGAACGATCGATCAAAGATGTTACTTCAAGAAATGCTCGCGCAACGAATTTGCACATGCGAAAACTTTGAATTACAGAAAAAAATCACAATATTAAATTTCAATTTTTTAAAATTTCGATGCGGAAATAAACATAAATAATAAACGGCATTCTCTGATGGCTTCAAGAACATCTAAATTTGTCATGAAACAGTCGAAATAGAGTGATGTGCCTGATGAACTGTTGTTATCAGAAATGCAGCCGTAACTGGTGAAACACCTAGTTGAACAAATATTTTGAAACATGTTTTTATTTGTACAACTGCGACGTCACTATTGATATAGTCAGTATCATTATTACTTATTTTGCTAATTACATCTGAACAATTATCATCATTTCTGCCCGTGTGTTCCATCATGTAAAACAGCTGAGAGTTTCGAAAGAGACACGTACGAACACAAAAAAATAATTTGTTCCACTAAACTAGAGCATATGGTGAATAGAAATCGTTTACACGAAACGAAACATTCTCCGAACTGAAAAATCAATGAGAGTAAGCAACTGGAATTGAAAAAGTCTTGAAGTGCGTTTTGCAGACGCACACTGAAATTGTGCGCGATATGCTGCCTGGAACAACCAAGCAGAATTTTTTTGTTCTTAAACAACTGCACATATGCAAACGAAACAGTGAATTCGTCCACATCAATTTCTTAGAATAAGCAAAAAAATTAACGATCATACACGCTGACAAACAGCGCTAACAAACTTGACACAGAAAAGAATGATATGACGTAAATTTACGAATACTTTAAAGGAATTTAACGAAATGTGATCTAAAAATAACATAATATCATCAAGGAATTATTATCAGTTCCATTATCAGAACAGATATCACCAGTTGTAATCGCCAAATTGGAACGAACACAATATTATGTAATAATACATCACAAGGTCGATCGTTCTGGGAAGCCGCATTTATAAACTGAGTACGAATAGAGCACGTAACACAGCTGA